TGTAATATACTTCATATTATGAAATAAACTTAATTTTCCATCTGTGAGCTACGTTACGTAATGCATATCAAGAATACAACGCTTAATTTAGGAAAAAAATATATATATACGTATATGTTTCATGAATAGTTAGAGCAAGTAGTGCTTCACGGGGGTCATTTGATTTTGGTTGCTGTTTGACGTCTGAATATTTTAAATTAGGCGAAGTCCCGCTACCCTACAGCACTACCAGGACATTTTAAGATCGGTTTGACCTCCTAGTAGAGATAAAGTTTCATTATACACCCTCTAATGCTTGTATTATGGAGAGTTTTCCGGGGAATTATTCAGACTTATATCATTAATACTTTACACCCGTAGTGATGCAGTGCTAATTTTCACTTTGATAATTAGCACTGCATCACTACGCTTTCAAGAAACTTTTTGCCTCGCAACACCAATTTGGTGGAACAAATTGTCGCCTGCGGTATTTACAAACCGATACGACCTTTAAGAAAAAAGCGTACTCCCAAACCGAACCACTCTTGTGACCCTTAAATTGCAGCCGTCCGTGGTAGACTCACCATCAGGCAAAGCATCTGCTCGTTTGCCCCTATCATATCATAAAAACAGAATTGGGGTAGTTTATATAGCATTGATATCAATAACAGGTATGAAATAAAGAAATTTTAAAGAAATCATATATGCATTGCTGTTTTCATTATAATAATAATATATGCATTGCGGTTTGATGTCCAAGGGTACAAGTATATTACGCATTTGTTCTTCTATTTTACTAAAGAGTACACTATACTCGTATTATCATGTCTTAAAAAATCTGTAACGTGGAGTTATACACCAGCTTTAAATATAGAACTACAACCTCAGAACAGCATGTAAATAAACCAATCAAATACAAATTTCACTAAAGAGAGAGATCACGTCACTAAAATGGCGCTACTCTTGGGTACTCAGCGATAATATATGTATCGAGTACACAACATACTAAGCATTTAAATATTGTTGTCTTATCACATAACAAGATATATTGCAAGTCTACCTCAATCCACATGTGCTTTTCTGGTCACTGCTTCGCTCCTTAGTTTGCTAGGGTACACGAGGAATACACATACAAAAAGAATTATTCAGATCAGGCTCATAGTTTCGGAGTTTAGCTCATTTTGACAAACGATCAACCAAAAAAATCTTTAATCTCTAATAACTCATTAGTATATTAGGTAGTAAACATAGATATAAAATATGCCTGTCTGATTTATTTTAAATGTAACATAATTTAACGTGTTACAAAACAAATTAACTAGAATAACATAGTTTTTTTTTAATAAGAGGAAACAAAGAAATGGTTCTTCCTGGATTGTTTCATTATTACAATACCGCTGAGTTTTAATTTGTGTGATTAATACATCCTACGTACTCTGCTAATTCAAGACCCTGACCATTTTTTATTTATAATTATTTTGTTCTTATAGTTAAAAAAAAAGGATTTATTTACTTCGTTCGAGTTTTATAGTCATACTATAAAAGTTATACTAGCAGTAAGAAAGAAGTACTCATACTTAAATAAAGAAGTGAAAACTTCTTTAGGCGCGTTGGGCATTTTTGAACAACAAACAAAAATATGTATATTCCGGTTTAACAAAAATACATGTTTTGAGATGGAAAAAACCATTGAGCTCGTGACATTGTTACCGTTACCGACACCTGTGTATATAAGTTTTCACTTCTGTCGGTACTCCCAGAGTACCACTGTTATTTATATTTCTTTTTATAGCATAGGCGGCAAAGATTCATTGGCGCCCTTTGAGTCTCTCCCCCCCTTAATCAGGGGGAAGGCGGAAGGTTGGGCTCCGTTAACTTCCCTTACTCGGTAAAAAGAAACTCTTTAGTTTCTTTTTACCGAGTTTTACTTAACATTAATTACTTAACATCTTTTTTGGTTTTCTGTGAAGCCGTGATATCGGTCGAGCTCATTTGTTCCGAAGTTTCATGGCTCTCCCAAGGTTAAATTAACGGATTAGTCACATAAATTTACCATATTACATTAAATCTGATTATACCTATGAAATTAACTACACAAATGTTACTTGGTATCGCATCGCAAGACCACGAGAAAAATATTTTAAACAAATATATCACAAATACTTGCTTGCCTTCAATGTTGTATTATAAGTATTATAACTCATATTTTTAATTTAAGAAACTAAAAAAAAAGCGCTTGACTAACTAAAGTAAGAGATATCACTCAATATACAGACCCTCGTTGTCGAGTAGTGATAGTATCAAATCACCACTCAACATTTTCACTATTCACCTAACTCCAACATCAATTCAGCTTTTTAATTCCAAATTATAATATTGTCATGCAAATTCCTATATAAAATTTGATTTTGAAATTATAGTTTAAACTTGCTCGAATGCAAGATTATACATACTTTGTAATATTCAGTATTTTATGTAGAATTAATTTTCACATATTTTAAATCAATTGAAGCTACGTCTTGAAATAACGAATTGATTTATTTAATCTGTAATAATTAATTGAAGCTTTACTTTAAAAGCAATATAATTTCTGTGTAGGGCACGCATTTACGAATACTGATGTAGTGGAAGCCACAGAATTTGAGAGAAAGACCGAACCCCTTTCATTAAAATAAGTTCTCAAGGTAGTTGAAACAATAGGTAACTTTTTTCTACCCGCACCTTGTAAAATAAAATCTACTAGGTGTGATAATTGCAGTGAGCCTCGATTACAAAAATATAATATTATTTTAAATCTGGTTAATAAGAAATAGGTGCTCATTTTGCGTTTCGATAATAGTTTGGTTTTACACTATAGTAGGTAATAAGTGTTGTATCTACCTCTTATTTTGAGATTCTTCACTCAATGCAACAAGGTGTTAATAACATTCTGTTTTCACAGTCGTTCAAAATTTGTTTTGCCAACTGTGCTCACAAAACGTATTTTTATAAGAAAATGTTGGTATGGGATGAGTTAAGAATAGCAAATTAAACAAAATGAAATCAGTTATGAACAGAAAAATATTTAACATGTCCTGGGATGAATCTGAAATAAAAACTGGGATCTGTTAAGAAAACGACGTAGTGGGATGAGATTTTGGTATGATGAAGACGGAACAACCTTAAAAATCGCTTGCAGGTGGTGGTAGTGCTCTACTTCAGCTAAAATATCCACATACCAAATCAGGAGTGGAGTTAAAACTTCTAAGTACCATAAATATCATTTATTAGTAAGTAGGTCAGAATCATCAACAGCCTCTAATGGTCCACTGTTGGACACAGACCTCTCCTTAGAAAGGAGGTTTTGGCCTACTATACCACGCTGGCCAAACGGGTTGGTATAGGGTTTGTTTCAAGTTTTCCTTCTCTTTGCAGTGCTGTTGTCCTGCGTAGTTTGTTACCTTAGGCTCTTACGACACCCACGGGATGAATAGTGGTGGTGACACTCCATATTCTTCATCCGTCAACACACGGAACGGTACGGTAAGGATCAGTGTATGGTTATTTTATTTCGACTTTTAAACTAAAAACAATGAAATTATTAGATTGTTGAGAAATTTATGAATTATCGAACATCATAACCTTAATATTTACATAATAACCGATTAAGAAACGTTTCGGTATAAGTATTATTTCTGCCTGCATAGGCAGATCTAATTGATATTAAACCGTACACTTTATTAACAATTTAAAAATAAATGAATTTCATCAATAAACAAACCTGTAATACTAAATTTGTTAACCAAGTCCTAATATCTGGCGCAGCCGTCGTTGGTTCTGGCAAAATAGGTACCATGGTGGTAGTAAACTCCAATACTTCAGTTACATTCATTTTAGAAAAATAAATAGGCTTAAAGATCGAATTGCACAAATTCACAACTTAAAAAACCAATTGTCGTTTCCCGCCAAAATTAAAAGTCGTTACGTCACATTCACATTGCACGCCGATGAAAGACTTTTAGTATATCTTTATTAACGAATATATTATATGTCTAATATTAAATATCGTAAAATAATTATTATAGACATTCGTCACAGAGCCGGTTTGTAAAATTGTGTGTACGATAACACGCGACTGCACAGTCCGTCCGTGCGAGGCGCACTGTCTTGAGAACTACCTATACACTTAGAAAATTACCTTTGAAAGGAAAACTATATTAATGTATAAAGTACAGGTTGCACATACCTCTGATATATTTTAAAGGGATACGTATCTCTAAACCAGTTTAGTATTGCTTGTGTTGTGCTTGTGAAAATAGTCGACGTAAGTTTTAGGCATCGTAGTTTGTAATTAGTATTCAATTTTATTTTATTATCATTATCATAAGTTTTACTACAAATAAGTTAGTATATGTAATTAATTATGGTTTTATTAAGTCGTCAAACTTTTATTTTATTTATAAATAGACACAAAATACCAGAGGTAGAGGACAGTGAAAGTTTGCTGATGCTTATCAGGGAAACTATTTAGGTAGGAAAAACCGATTTAACTACAAATTAAATCGGAGATATTGATCACGGTTGGTCCGGCACACTTGATGTTATTGTTGCTCCGTTAGAATGAAAAAATAGCATTTGATGAATGCGCATTACACATTATTACATATAATCCTCACATTAGTCCGAGTTAAGATCATAAAATTTTGTATCTAGTTTCCAGATAGGAGATTACCCTCGACCTATCATTACTCGTAAGCTGAAATCCTGTGTTGTTATTTTACAAAGCATAATTTGTTACCTATACCTTGTAAAATAACCAAACTAGGTATTTCATGTCCGTAATTTGACCTAATAATTACCCATTCGCCACTCCAACCTCCACATTTTCTTGACATATAATCGTTTGCATTATTTACATTACATTTACACTATTGCATTGACACTACACCTGACTGACACCGGTAGTAGTTAAATTAACAACAACAGGCAGAAAACTACAGCTTCTAAAAAAGAAAAAAACTTTAGAAGTGTCAGGCATATACATGAAGGAAGATTATACTCCTGCCGTTCTAGCAAAACGCAAAGAACTACAGGAAGAATTTAAACATAGAAGGTTATCTGGAGAAAAAGTAATCCTACGCTACGACAAAATAGTTACGTTGAAACCTCGCGAACAAGTTACCGGTCCACCCAAAGGGAAAACTTATAATAAAAGATTTCTGTCTGAGTCGCCAGAAGACAAAAACAACTCGAAGGCACTAAATAGCGCAGAACAATCAAAACAAGTACCCAAAAAAAATAAACCTCAGACCATAACGAGTTACTTGCGACCTTCATTATTAAACTCAACACCTAAAGTATTCTCAAGTTCGGATTCCCAGGAAATGCCAAAAAACTAAGCTGCGCCCCTCCATTTTCACCTCTCCCAATACGGCCGGTCCCCGTGGGAGACGTAGACCAAAACCCTCTAGAGAATACATGCAATGAAAACAAAGATAACCTAGAAAAAAATCTATTATATGTAGCAACATACAACACGAGAACGTTGTCCTCATACTCCCACCTACTTGAACTAAAAGAAGCTATAAAAAACATAAATTATGATGTTATTGGTCTCTCTGAAGTCAGACGACTTGGGAATACTATAGAGGAACATGAAGACTTCATATTCTACTATATAGGACAGACCCCAGGCTTGTATGGTGTGGGATTCATAGTAAAAAAGCGACATAAGAAGAACATTATATGTTTTAAAGGCATATCAGAACGAGTGGCTCTACTTCAACTTACTATCAACAACATTGAAGTAAGCATAATACAATGTTACGCCCCCACCGAATCATCGAGTGATACCGAGACTGAACTCTTTTACACCACTGTAAACAAAGCATTACTTATTGCAGGCAAAAATTTAATAGTATTGGGTGACTTTAATGCCAAAATTGGGCAACCAAAACGAGAAGAAAATAATGTAATGAAAAAGCATGGCTTTGGTAACAGAAACCACAGAGGTACTAGGCTTATAGAATTTGCATTTGAAAAGAATGTAGTAATTTTAAACACTTTCTTTAAGAAGAAGAACAGCAAAAGAAGGACCTGGAGATCACCGAATGGTATGGTAAAAAATGAAGTGGACTACATACTAACTAATCTCCAAAAATATGTACACAACATGCAAGTGATTCATGTAAAGTATCCCAGCGACCATAAAATGGTGAGAGCCACGCTGAAAATGCAGTCTTCAAAGAAAAGTAGAAAAACCTTTAAGAATAACGTAAAAAGTACTTTAAACAATGAAATTGAAATACAGACATACAAAAAATCACTTTGCGAAGACTTAGAATACCTACATACTCGACAAGAAATATATACAGTGCAAAACTTTCATGATGAAATTATTTCTGCTATAAATAATAGCCTCAAAAAAGCTAAAACAACCTCACAGCAAAATAACACCATTTCTGTTATTTCACCCAATACTAAAAAATTGATGTTAAGACGACAATATTTACAAAACCTGAAACCAAAAACAAGGAGTATGAAAGAAGAGTTAAAAGCTCTCTACAAACTTATTAGCAAACGTATTAATCTAGACTACAAATCTCACCGTAGGAATACTATTGAAAAACATATAACTCAGTCTGGAAGTTTAAAGAAAGCCAGTAGAGAATTAAGAACACATACGAACTGGATAGAAGGCCTAGAAGCTTCAAACAAAAGAACTTGTCATAGAAAAGAAATAATTCAAGTTGCTACTAATTTCTATAGAAATTTGTACTGCTTTGAAAACCATGATACCACTCAAATTATACTAAGAGACACAACACTACAAATACAAGACATAGAAGAAGCGGAGGTATTAAAAGCAATTAGTAAACTAAAGTCAGAAAAGAGCCCGGGACCAGACAAAATAACTAACGAAACCCTGAAAATTGCATGTCAACACTTAGCAGGCCCTTTAACACAGTTATTTAACTTAGTAATAAGAACCGTAACTATACCAAAACAATGGGCTGAATCAGACATTGTCTTATTATACAAGAAGGGAGACCCGCACAATATAAGTAATTACCGACCTATAAGCCTGCTGCCATCCATTTACAAATTATTCTCATCAATTTTAGAAAAAAGAATCAGAAGTACCATAGAAAAACATCAACCTATAGAACAGGCCGGATTCCGGAGAGGATTTTCTACCATGGACCATATCCACTCTATCGAAATGGTTATAGAAAAATACCAAGAGTTCAAGAGACCGCTCTACCTAGCGTTCATCGACTACCAAAAAGCTTTCGATACTTTGTATCATCACTCTATTTGGGAAGCTCTACAATCACAAAATATTGAAACTGAATATCTCAAGGTTCTACAACATCTATACCAAAACTGCAACAGTAGAATTAGATTAGATTCGACTGGTCCCCCTATACCCATCAAAAGAGGGGTTAGACAGGGCGATCCTATTTCCCCAACAATTTTCATAGCGGTACTACAATACGTGATCGAGAAGCTTGCCTGGGAAAGAGTCGGTTTAAACATAAACAATGAGTATATAAGTCACTTAAGATTCGCAGACGATATCGTCCTATTTTCTGAAAGTACAAGACAACTACAATCAATGATAAACGCCCTCCACACAGCTAGTCTACAGGTTGGTCTAGAAATAAATCGCAATAAAACAAATATCATGACAAATAACAGCAGGAACCCAATATACCTAGAAAATGAAAAGTTAGAATATGTCGACACTTATATTTACCTGGGGAAGCAGATATCATTCGATAAGCAAAGAAATTACCATGAAATAGAAAGAAGAATTGCAAACACATGGAAGAAATTTTGGAGTCTGAAAGAAGTTTTAAAAAGTGAAATGCCAATTAGAATTAAACAAAAAGTCATGGATACCTGTATTCTCCCATCACTAACTTACGGCAGTCAAACTTGGAAGTTCACTATAAAAGCTAAAAACAAAATTAGGTCATGCCAAAGCGGGATGGAAAGAAGCATATTAAACTTGAAAAAGATACAAAAAGTACCAAATAAAACTATTCGGAAAAAGACTAAGGTTGTTGATGCTCTATGTCACTGCAAAAAATTAAAGTGGCGCTGGGCCGGCCACATAACGCGGCTGACAGATAGCAGATGGACGAAGAGATTGACGTCTTGGGTCGGACCAGCGGGCTCTAGGAAGAGGGGCAGACCAGTTGCCCGGTGGACCGATGACATAACTCAAGTGGCCGGCGATCGTTGGATGGACACAGCAACCGACAGGGACGCTTGGAAATCTCTAGAGGAGGCCTTCACCTTCGATTAAGAGGGGTTCTTACTACTTAGCGCACAGATTACTGTATAAAATTAGATAAAATAATAGTAGTAGTAGTAGTATTTAATAGTTTTAAGATTAATTGTAACTGTATTTTTAGTAAGAAATAAAAGGCTTTTTTATTTTTTTTTTTTTTATTTTTATTTATTGACACTATTGCATTTACACGGAAATTAAATACTGCGAAAGCATGCATGCTATTAAAAAACATTTTTAGTTGCCCTTATTGGACAGCAAGTGAGCACTAAGTTCAAACATAATTTTTATTACATCCATCCTTCTGTATTCAAAATTTTAATGTTGTTATTTCGAAATAATTCTTAACGGTTTTATTATGTTAAGCAACCAATATATACCTCATTGTTTAAATCAAATACCAGTAGATCCACTTAGGTACTTGTTCGTCATAATTATAATTTACTGACAAGGCGATTCATAACAATTTTACTTCTCATTGTTTCAAGCATATATTTGAAAATCATACATGACATTCTTATTCAGTAATGTTTTAAAAATGTATAATTAAATTTTGTTTTTTCATCGTTTCTTTTATCTGCGAGTGTGAGGTGAAGATTTATAATATGCAGCTAACGGAGAAGAAAAAATCTATAATTGCTTAATATTCTTACATTAAATTCTTCCTGAAAACATTATTTAAAAAAGTTGAACCGCCTTCAAACAATACTAACAAAGAGTACGAAAAACCTAGCAGCAATCGAGGTTGACTTGGTGTAATTTTTATAAGAGTTCCGTTGTCTGTCTCCGAAACTCATCATCAGATCTATATGAAATTTAAATAGGACCATTTCGGAACAAACCCCTCTCAAACAAAAAAATAATTTAGAAAATCCGTCTATGCATGACGGAGTTTTTTTTTTAATGTATATTCCGACGCACATGCATAAAAAAATAAACATCCGAATTGATAACCTCCCCCTTTTTGAAGACGGTTAAGAAATAGTAATTTTTGTATCGAGTTGATTAGAGTACATACTTTAATGATATCTCTTTTTTCTTATTACAAGCAAATTATGCAGATGTGAATATGGGCAAAGTCGTAGGCAAAACAATGGAAGTAGGAGTTCTTAATGTTATGTATGTAAAGCGCAAAATGCCTGACAGCTCAGCACTTGCCTAGGCTGCTGAAAGCAACCGAGGAAGAATGAGAAAACAACTAACATATAACTATTCTCACAATTAGAATTAGAAAATTGTACGAATAAGCCTAATGCTAAATCGACGAAATAAAAGTTTATTTCGAAATAAACCCCTTTCGAACCAAAAATTTTTTTTTTAAACCGTCTATATATGACGGAGTTATGCCCGAAAATACATAAAAAAAATAAACAGCCGAATTGATAACCTCCTTCTTTATCAAGTCGGTTAAAAAAACATTTACCCTAATAAAATTTGTGATGATTTGTAATTTTTTGAATAAGAAAACATTTTGTATAGCTTTAAATTTTTTTGGACAAAGACTAAAATTTGATAGTTTTGTTAAATCCCCTGGTAAATAATACTTTGCATGTGTGTGTTACAGAAATAAGGCTCTTAATTTATCTGTTCTCGAAGACCATAGCCATCATTGAAAAATCCCCGAAACAAAAAAAAACTTTAAAAAACAACATCTGCTCATTGAGGCTGTTCTAATTAGAGAATGCAATCTCTTTCTCGCGAGATCTCGGCCTTTTTTAGCGAGATTGATCTCGGACGAAAAAAGGGCGAGATCTCGCGAGTTTAACGAAATTGCACTCGTGCATAAAAAGTCGTATTCGAAGCGCGGACTGACACGGACGGAGTTGCGATCTGTCGGTTTCGTTCAGAGCGCGGGAGGCGGCGGCCTGAGTTAGCGGTCGCGGAACGAGGTGTCTCTCAGTAAAATTTTACACAAGATAAAATTTTATTACTAAAAGATAAAGACTTGTTTGATATTAGAAGAGAAGACTGGTTGTTTCTTTCATTTGTTATTTGATAGATACTTACGTCAAAGTTTACTACTTAGAAGTTTATTAAAAAATTATAGACAGATACGTCAAACAATGTTTGATGCATAAAAGTCTATTGGAAACATTCTTG